TGGATGTTCCCAACCATTTCAGCAGCTTTCTGTTGGTTTGGGCTTGTAATTTGGTTCCTGTTACATCTGTAGGTGATATCTGTCTTCCACACACTGGGGTGAACTTAGCTGTTCTGCGACAGCCAGACTGGCTCCTCTCAGCTCTGACAGAAGGAAAATGGATTCTCAAATGACTCTATCAGGACCAGAGACAATGCAGACTTGTGGGAGGCAGCACAACAAGGAGGTCAGTAAGCAAATAACCACAAGTGCTCTCACAGTAATGAAGTGACTCTTTCTCTACACTCTTCCTTGATGGAAAGCGACAGCCAAGACAATCATTACCAGAGATGCCAACTTGGGCAGTTCAATGATAGAGGAAGATTATTGCCTTCACACTGGGCCCACTGCAGCTTACAAGCAAATGAGATACAACAGAAATGAAATGAGCTGACACCTACTTAGTCTCTTCAGAGAAGAATATTTACTTGGGTTTGTCTTGACTGCAGACTCATAGGATGGTGGGAGGTGAGAGAGGTTCTGGAAGGACCGGGAGAAGGACAGATCATAGGGTTCGGTGGCAGAAGTAAGGATGTTGTTCATCCGTGGCTTGTCTGAAAAAAAGAGAAAAAGACATGTTCATAAAGCACACCAAACCCAAGTGAGACAGGTGAGCCATTCCCACAGCCCTGGCTGTATCTGGGCAAGCCTCAGCAACAGGTTCTTGGGCTTAATTCAAACTGGCACTGGAAGATCAGTGAAAAATGGAACCTGTAGCTTTGTTTTCCTTAGTGTCCACAGCAATTAGGGATAAAAGCAAACTGCTGCCTCAAAAGCCCAGCAGCCCATCAGACTTTCTCTCAGTGGGAGGATAGGCCTGGCAGACTGAGTCACCTCACTTATTGTGGAGATATATACATTGCTGTGAAGTGGCCATATATGAGCCTGATGTGGCCAGCTTAGGTAGGTTGTGTCTTCCCTGCTCTCAGAGCTACGGAAAAGCATTTATAAGGGTATTTCAAATGGGATTGATAGTCAATTTTTTTTTTTTGACATGTTTGATCTCTGTTTAGTGCTCTGAAGCTGGGAGCTCCTGAGCAATGCTCAGGCCCTGGCTCCAATGTCCTGGTGGGCTCTGCAGTCAGCTGGGGTTCCCCTAACACTTGAAAGTGTGAAACAGAGCAGTGAGGGGCACGTTTGAGTGCAATCTGAAAATGAGAAAAGTTTTGGAGTGATTTCTGAGGAAGGAAATGAGGGGAAGTCCATGCAGGATGGAGGATGCCCCATCCCTAGTTTTTTTAACTTTGTTGGTCACAGAGGGAGTCCCAGGCCAGTGCCCGAAATGCCCTGTGTCTGAAAGCGAATGCTGAGGACACTGTCAATAAAAGCTAGCACTGGGCCTGGACATTAAAAGTCAAGTCCAGTCAATCATCTGCAGAGTTTTCTTGGCACTGAAATCACCCCCTTTGCCACAGGCTGGCTGAGAAATCAGCTCCGCAGCTAGGCGACAAGAGCCTGTTGAATGATAACATTTATATCTCCCAGGTGTTCAGATATTAAAATAGGCAGAGATAAGAGTATTAAAAATAGAAGCAGCTGCAATGTTGAAAGTAAGGCTAGAAAAGACTCCTGGAAGATCTGTAGGGGCTTGCAGCAGTGATGGGACTACATTAAAGATGTACAAAGCCCAAGGAGGTGGTCACTTTGAGTGTGCTCTGACAATGAAACCAGAGGACAGAATGCTCTCATACAGCTGAGAAGCACTTTTAGATGCATATTGACCATTCCCAGACCTGAAGGGTACTGAGAAGGAGTGTCATTGGGATGACCTCAGCCAAAATGCAGATCTGTGCTGTCCTAGCCTTTGGCCAACGCCTGCCCACACAGTTACCTACCCAAGGCAGAAGAGCAAGGAGGAGGGCCTGTATGCCCAGTCTGCATGTAGCAGTTTAGGGCCTTGCAATAGTTCATGGATCCATTTTGGGGACATAGGGTCTTCCTGGATATGATCAAGACCACTGTGCTTCTGCTGCCTATAAGCTCTAGATGTCTCCTTGCCCACAGCTCTGTGGGGAACAGTTTAGGTCTGATTTAGCACAAATAGGGTGTTAGATCACTATTGCACAGCTCATCTTAAAGCTGGATGAGTAGAGTTGGCAGTCAGTGTCAAGAGAAGGTTACTTGACTTTTGATCACGAACTACCAAGCAACAAAAAGCATGGATTTCACAACAAAACCCCCCAGAACACTTAAGTCTTGGCTGCGCACAGTCCTGCTGTGCACCACTCTAAAGTATGCTCCTTATCCATCCAGGTGCCTCAGGACCTTTTACCTCCACTGATCCAGAGACTGGTGTGGATTAAAGATGAGCTTCTGCCCAAAAGTTATTGAGCAGCAAGGGAGTTTCACCTTGACAAATTTGATGGCTTTGTACAAACAGTGACCAAACATTCTCCATCTTCCCTTACCTCCCAGCAAAATTTAAAGCAAGTCCCACCCAAGCAGAGCACAGTTCTTTCATCAGATCATTCTACAGACCTTCATTTCCTTTATAAGGAGCAGATATTTTTCTGTGTTCCTTACAGCTTTTAGGAATGGTGAAAATGTTCTCTAAAAAATGCAGCAACTGTGTGAGTTAATAAATGCATCTTTCCTATTGAATATATATGTCTCCACACTCATGAAATAGTGTTGTTACATGCCCAAAAGCCCATAACCCTAAGTAAGTGAACATATAGCTAGTGTGTCATTGCTCTGAGAAGGTTATTTTCTTAATGATAACTTCAATCTCTGTCTAATAGATTGACAGTAGAATTAGGAAGTGCATCATATGCATCAGGGCACTGAGAACAATTGATTAGATATTATCTGGTAAACAGAGCCTATATCAGCACTGAAACTGTGCCCCTACTCCTGTTTGTGTTTGTGTGGACCAATGTCTGTTTGCGATGTCTCAGCCAGAACCTGTATCTAATCTCCATTTTGCATGGAGCCTTGGATGAGCTGAAATAAGCCTAGTCATATGTATGGAATTTGTGTTCAGTGCCAGAACAGGAGCATTAACTGACTAGTTGCAAGAGGTGTGTGAAATTAAGTAAGTGCCACACATTTATCCGATGGGCTGGTGCAGAATCAGTACATCTTCTTACTGCTTTTTCCCTCTAGTCAGTCAGGAATAGACTGTAATGACTCTAGTAAATGACAGGTCACCTTGAAATCAGCTCCCTATCATTTAGCAAAATAAGGGATAAACTGAAATGACTTAAGATAACCTCAGATGGCTTTTGCATAATGTAAGATCAGGGAACTCAGAGGCGCTAGTAAAGAGAAATATCTTGTGCAATTTGTTTTCTGGGACCAGCTAAGCAGAAGTTTCTTCATAGTTCTTCATTCCAGCAACATACTTGAATCACATGATTTCCTGGTCTCACTCTTGTTACTGGAGTTTCTTGGCCCCTGTGGCATCTGCTGGACATAACGATCCAGCACAGTGCTCCTAATCACCAAAACACATCTGAGGTAGCACATTGCTCCAAGCCCCAGCATTCCCACTCATTCCAGTCCAGCTCTACATTCTGGACAATGGCTGATATCCACTGAAAAATGAAAAAATTCCCATGGTTATTTGCTCTACCTTAAAAAGTTGCTGTTTATCCACATTTGCCTCACCTCCATCCTTCAGACAGCCTCATTTATCCCACTTTGACACATTGTGCTATCTCGTCACAATTTGCAAAGATTTTAGCAGAGGAACATGGAGGAAATGAAACGCACTACATTGTGCAGCAAAATACAACAGAGAGGGACACATCATCCATATTCTTTTGGTTGAAGAAAAATGTTTCTAAATTCTCTTTGCTAATGCTTCAAAGTAACCATGGCTTTATACAACCAAAAGAACATTTTAAAATTCTGACAGAGTCTCCCTAGAGGGGGCTCAGCCCTGCAACATTTCTTGATTTCATTGATGCACAGGGCATCAATGGTTGCACACTGTTCCTGTCGGAATACCGGTAGCATGGCACATCACTGCCAACACACAAAATTGCATGACATCGGCACCATAACTTTGAGAAGGGAGCAGACATCTCCATAGAAAAAGGCTCATCCTTTCTCTCCATGCTTTAGGATCCGCAATCACGAACTGTGGACGCTTTCAATTCACCCCTCCACCTCATGCATACAATCATTCTGTAATGTATAACGGAGAGAAAATCACGCTTAGTTGAGGGAGAGCCTCATTCCACCAGCAATATTTCACAGACAAACACAGGGCTGAGAAGTAGTCTCAATATTTTTAAAGCTAGAGACTTGGATGACAGAGACCAGACCTAAATTCTGCATGAAGTGTCGTGTCCTGCTCCCATTCTTTGAAGATTGTTTCTATTTCAAAGTGTGGCTACATGAGGTATGGAACCATCCATGTACAAAGACAGCAGCAGATGATACCCAAGACAAAATAGTGAATTTATGGCAAAGTTTTAAACAAAGCTCAAGTGGCAAAGGGATGTGCTCCATATTTGCATTTGAGTCTGCACATATGTTGTGTGAATTTTGCAAGACTTTTCAGCAGATGCCTTTTAAAACATGCACCCAGAGAAAGCAAACAATGTCACCTAGAAGAAACTGATAACAACCAGGCCTTCTGCTGCTCAGCTTCAGTCCTCTGTCAAAGCACCCGCTGCTCCCTCAGCACCGCCTTCTGCTCAGTCATTTGAAGCCTGAAACACAATGTCTTCTCCAAGGCTGAGGAAAGCTCTTACAAAAGAATACGTTCCTCAGGAAAATATTGGAGCAACTGATGACGTTTGATACCCTACTGTGCCAAGTAGTAACATTTCCTCAGTCATCCTGGAAATGACATACTATAACAAGCACAGAAGTGACATTTTCAAACTAGAAATAAAATTTACAATTTGTATCTTCAGCTTTTTCAAGGTGGTATATCTGTTTTCGTACTTATGTTACAAACTTTTACTGATAGACTTTTGCATCTCTTACAAGGAATCTCAGAGAGAGACTCACACATTTCAGGTCAGCTCATCAGCTGATGTAAGTCAGCAACTCTCTAGTGAATAGCATCTCTCATTTACATGATCTGGAGATGTGGGATTTAAAATCCACTTAATGAAAATATGTACATATATATATATCTCACGTTCCAGGATAGCTCTCTGATTACCTAATTCAGGGCTCATTGCTAAGAAATGAATCTCTATCTGAAAAGATAAAAAGCAGCAATGAACTACATCAGCACACTGCAAGATGACATCCTCATATGCTGCCATACAGACACACAGCACGGTGATATACCTGAATCATATTGCTGATGGACATGAAGATATTTCTGAACATACACCATATTTTTCTGGACACAGCACAGTTAAACAGTACAACACAGAATGAAATGAATAATGTTTCCAATTAAAACCAGAAGGCAAATTTCAGAAAGTACAATGGTATTGAGTTATCACAAGAAAGATGTATTTGCATTTCCTCAGGTTACCTGCCTTTTCATGGAGATACAAGAAACCACACTTGGCTCTGGAATCAGAGCAGTCGGCATGTAGAACCATGCAGAGCTGGGGTCAGGACTCATTGCTGTTGAATTTTAGACTATGCAACTGAAAAATGTCAAACCGTTAACTCCTTCCAGCTCTGAGAGTGCCTCATGCTCAAACTTGAACTGCAGGGAGGAGAAGATGTCTTGAAAAGAGAAATACATTGGTCCTGGTAGTAGGAAATTTCATATGGCTCCAGCTGCTGAGAGACACAGTGACACATCTCAGGTGCAGTGGGCCAGGTGGGATCTCTCTCTTTGGGACTATGTGAGGCTCAAAGCTCAAGGCAGGCTGGAGGTGCTCAGCGAATGTCATGAGGTCTGCAGAGGAAGTCTTAGGAGGTCTTGCTTCTGAACGACTCATGGGCAGTTCACACCAACAGCACTCATAGCATTGCAAAAGGAAAAGAGCCATTGTCTCGGGAATTTTATGTATCCCCTTTTTTTTTTATGATGCTGTGATTTGACCAACAGAAATTTTGGTCTTACTCACCAGCCTCATTTGGGAGAAATATGCTGCTTCTCCTTGTATAAATGAGGAGGATGTATAAACGCGGAGGGCTGTTCTCAGCCCTTCCCTGTGCACTGCACTTTACAAAGTTGTGCAAAGCAGTTGAGTCATGGCTTAGCACCGGTGCTCCCATCACAAATGGTGCCTTGTATGGATCAAAAAGTAGGCACTGTGTTGTCCAGTCCTCCCAGATTACCTGTTTCATTTCTCCTCTCACTTTCATTAACGCCCTGCTGTTTGCAAAAATACCAGTGGACATAATATGTCTATTTGTTCTGTAGGTTATATTCTGGAGATCTGATTATCTTTTAATTTCCTCACATATATTTCTACTGGGGATAAATCTAATTTAAACAGTCCTTAATTGTTCTGATTTTGTAAACAGAGTCTTAAACACAATAGACACAAAACTCTCAACAAATTGCTAGAGGAGATGTGACAGTATAGGGAATCATTTTCATATCTTCTGGGATTGCCCCAAATTGAAGCTTCTGGTCTGATGTTTAGAAAATTGATGCAAGAATTATTTTGAGGATGTGTTTCCCCAAAGCCCTATTACTGTGTAGCAAATAAGATGTCCTGAATTTCTGAAGGAAGGAAAGAAGAAACAATGGAAAGACAGAAAGAGAGCATGAGAGAAACAAAGAGAAGAAATGCGAAAGATAAAGGAAGAAGAGGAGGAAAAGAAGTAAGGAAGAAAAAGAGCAAAAAAAGAAGAAATAAAAAATAAAGAGACAGAGGGAGAAAGGGAGGAAGAAGGGAGGGAATGTAGAAAGAAAGAATGACAGGAAGATAAAAAAAGATACATATATGTACACATACATAGGAATTTGTTTAATATTCACATGGCTACAGCTACAAAATCAAATTTGCCTCCACCAGAGCAAACCCAGACATAATTTGTGGAAAAAGTACTTGTCCAAATTAAAGTCTTGAAGTGAAGCCATTCACTGCATATAGTGGTTTACTAAGTACTTTCAGAGATAATTACCGAATGCAATGAACTGATATGAAAATTATGTTACAAACTTCTTGCTAACTACATTATTTACCAATTTGCTTGTTTATTTATGTAGGTGTAAAAAAGATGTTTATGCAAGACTCTTGGTAGTTTAACATAATTAAATATGCACTAACTATAATGAGATTAAAGTTAAGTGGAAATAAAAAATAAAATAATAAGCTTTACAGAAACCAAGCCCAGGAATCAGGGTATATTTCTGTTGCAGCTAATGTTACACTGCCTCAGTCCTTCTCTGTACCCTATGCTTTTATATTTTTCATATTTTATTCTTTTTAATAAGAAAATAATTTATGTGTTTCTTTTACATAAGGATTTAATAACTATACAAGATGTATTAATGTATCAAAAGGGGTTTGCATTTCATGTGCAAAATTTGGCTGCACACAGAAACAAATACTCAAGCATTCACCTTTACCTTCTACATATAAAATCAGTAAATCTTTCCAAAAATGTAGTTTTTCATTTAGAATTAAAAAACTGCAGCTGATATAAAACTAAAACCTAGAGCTAATGACACCAAAATCAGACATGTAACTACAGTGGAACTGAGGTCTGAAGTACACCAGCGAGAGCCGTGTCTAGGATGAGGTTTCCAGAGGAGTGCAGATATCTTCATAATGAGGGACTTGGTGTCCTCAAAGTGAAGTAGGTGCATGAAGAGGCCTACTGCAGAAAAAAACACCCTTATTTTGGATGAGGGAGACCCAAAGTAACCATAGCTTCTACAGAGCTGTCAACAAGGGCAGAAATGAAATCCTGGTATGGCAGGCCATGGTTTGCCAGATCCTGTCTGAGGACGGGCCTCTCGATCGTCACTAGAAATTGTCCTCCACAACATTTTCCAAACACAGAAACCATATGTTTCACCCTGCTGTGAACCCTCCCTGACAGACAGGAGAGGAAAAAGGGACATTTTCTTCTAACTGTTAGCTGTGCTACAAGCAACACTATGCTAATTAAATGATGGCAGCCTGACAAAGCAGATTATACACCATCTTGTCATTAATTAGTAGGCATTCCTTCCTGCATCAGAAGGATTCAGTGTAACTATATCACTGATCTCAGAGCTGGGAAGCCTCCTTCCATGGGGCCTTGTGCTCCATGCATGGGCCAGCAACCCCCTGTGTAGGTTAAAACAGGAAGTTTTCATCTCTGGCCACAACTGAGGTCCTTTTTTTTTTTTTTTTCCTTCCTTTCTAAGCATAGGTTGATCTTATTCTCTTCCAATATGTTTCTTTGAAGGCAAAATCCAGTGACAGTGATGCAAAGCAGGGTGTTTGCACGTGGTGCTGTTAGCTGTTGCATGCACTCACAGAGGGCCCAGCACATGGCTGTCTGCCTGGACCAGTGCAGAGGCCACAAACCAGCACTGGTTCACGAAAACAGGTGTTTACCATTTTTTGACTACCTCAGTTGAACTAAGTTGCCAAGCATATGGGTAGAAAGGGTTAATCTCAGAAAACTGCCTGGCAGAGTAGCTGCCTCACAGCAACAGCACATCTGGATCACTCCTGCACACTAGGATCCCATTGCTCTTCATAGTGTTACAAAATCTGTAATCCTGGAGATGCCTTGACCAAAGAATCCCCAGGAGATCCACACTAACCCCAAAAAGTCACAACCATGCCTGGAAAGAGGTGTTCTGGCTCACCATCCAAGTAGGTGGGCACTGTGCTTCGCAAGAGCTTTGGAGAAAGAGATAACTTGGAAAATTTTGCTCTATCTTTGCAATGGGCTAGTGAATACAGAGAGGGGAGAGGGGAGCTTGAAGGACTTGGCCTTCATACTTCCTTCCAGATGAGGAGGTCCCTTGCGGAGCCCTGCATCTCCTGCCTGATGTCGCTGTGCTGCAGGGAATCTTCCCAGCTCAACCTCGAGGTTAGGCACATCTAGAGACTCTGATATTGTAATGGGAATGACAGGAGAAGGTGAGGAACCTGTGGAGAATATTTATCAAATGACATAATAAGAAGAGTATGAAAAACAGAGATTCAGAGCTACAGGAAGTATGAATCCATATATTAAGATGAGATTAGCTTATCACTTACCACTTCCCTGAAAGAGGAGAGGCTCCAGATGCAAATGTTGAACAAATCTCACATTCAGAGGATAAATAGTGCAATGAAAAGCATGAAGAAGGCCAAGGCAAGATAGCAGATGAAGAGAGAACTAAGCAGAGAGGTTGGACTGGCTCCACAGAGGCAGGGGAAACAACTGACTTGAATGGCAATGATTTAAATGGAGAAGGAAGCTTCCTCCAGGAATTTGAATGTGCCTGTGATCTGAGTGGTCTGTGATTGCAGCAATGCAGGGAGAATACTTTTTTTTTTTTTTCCTCTGTACAAAAGATAAGAGGAGAGAACCTGAAATAGCTCCATTCTGCTAACTTGGAGCCAAGGAAGCCAAAGGGAGGAGGGAACTAAGGCAGAAGAGGGGTGAGACTCAAAGAGGTAGAATGGTTGGAGGGACAAGACTGAACAGAGAGGAATAAGGATTCTTGCTGAAGTGGAAATGAAAACTCTTCTCCCATCTGAACTGAGACACTGGAACCGTAAGTGGGAAAACAAGCTGCTCTGAGGAGCACCTGAATTATTGAAACTACTGGTCAAGGGAGGACAGATGGATCCACTAAGTCAAAATGAGAGACTGCTGGATAGAGAGGTGCCAATGGATGTGCTGAACCACATATAAAGATAAGAGAAATGGGAATCCAGGTCTTCCATAGCTCCGTAGGAGTGAGGCCTGCAGGATGATTCCCACTTAGCCAGCTATCTGGGTTGAAAGAACAAACCCAGGGAAGCTCTGGAGAAATTCTGCAAGAGCTGCTCTCAGTCTTTGAAGGACAGGACAGGCTACATGGTGGTGACAGGCTGCCCCAGACATCTCCTGAGGTGTCAGGTCTAAGGTGCAGGAGATGATAGGTCAGTGTCCTTTCCTACTACAAGCTAGAAGGACAGTGCGTGAGTCAGGGGTTTCAGTAGATCATTTCTGTTGGACCCATGCTGTGTGTGGCCCGAATGGCTTGGAGTTAGTTCTGGAGTTAAACTTGGGCCTTGCAGTGTCAAAAGCTCAGGAGCCCTTGCTGTGCATTTGCTATCTTTCCAATCTATCCAGTACTGCACAGGCACGAGCACCATTATTTAGCAAAAGGGACTTATGACTTTACTATTTTAGTCTGATAAATCTGACAGTAGCTTGCTGATATGAAAGTGAGAAGGAGCAGCCAGACATGGGGAAACACAAAGTAAAAGACTGGGCCATATTTAATTGTGTACAGTATTAAAAAATATGGTCCTATATGTTTAATGTTAATGAAATACATCATTCATGCATCATTGCCATAGGAACTGTTCAGTTAACATTAAACATACTTTAAGACCAGTAAATGTTACTGGTTGGCAGAGAAAAGTTACAACATGTGTAATTTTGCTCTTTGTTTTCTCTTACCATGTGTAGGTGTCTGGGTGGCACTGTTTAGTATCAGGTGACTATAATTTTGTTCTTGGTCATCTGAAATTCACAGAAAAAAGAATCCTTTAAAAAACAGCTTAGTAAACCCACTGATCTGCAGATGATAATTACAGCTCACAGTATTTACAAGAAAACTCAGCATGATTAAAGAAAGGAGAAGAAAATGCTTAAGAAAGCAGAAGACTCTTGTTATGTTGTTCACTTAAAATTCCAGATGCTAAAAGAACACGATAATGGGAAACTGCTCCCCTTCTGCTGAGCCTGCAAATTAGAGTTGTCTGCAAAGGTAAGAAGCATGTTCAAGCAGGAACCAACCATGACTTTTATATCAACACCAGTAGTGCATTCCTGGAAATTTCTGAAACCTCATAGAACTAATTATACTGCCACATCTCTTTCCAGTGCAAAGATGTTCATAACATTGGCCCCCGAAACCTGAAAAAAAAAGACTCTGCCCGGGATTTTCCATGTTCTCTACTCTCATTCATTCACAAAACCTTGCATGATGTTTTCCTTTTTCATGACACA